CACATCCCCTCCCTGGGTTCCAGTGCTTGCTTGGCATCAAAGGATTCGGCTGACAGCATTTAACCAGCCATTGAAAAGCAGATTTTTTTTTTTTCCCCCTCTTAGGCTTCAGGAGCTCAAACAACTTGCCCTGTTACTGTCTGTTGCTTTTTTTCATTAATGAGCTAATACTCCTTTTCTGCCAGCTTGCTTACTTCCCTTGACAGCACTGTTGCCTTTCCTGGTCTCCCTTAACAAAAAGCAACAGGGAGAAGCTCAGCACAATGTCAGATAGTGGAGGAGCTGAGCCCTGGACTCCCTGTTCCATCCTTTCACGCTCTTTATTTGCGATCTGAATCTCCAGAGCAAGTGATCTTGATGGTGAGCGATGCCAACAGTGCTGCGTCCTCTGTGTCACAGGAGCAAGGAGCGATGCTGGCAAGGGTGCAGCGCTGTTTGCTTGTCAAAGCATCCCTCACTGCTGGGCTGATGCCAGTGGCAGCAGGAGCTGGTGGCCACCGGCTCCCGCTGCTCTTGCAGGACAGGCTGGGCTGCTTCAGCCCTGCACAAGCACCAACATGTTCTGGCTCGGAGCAGTTTGGCTCCTTCGCCCATGCATTGTTTTGTATTTTTATTAAAAATGACTCGTATCTAGCCCGAGGCGGGGGGGGCGGAAAAAAATCCTTCGCCTCTGAAAACTCAAAAGCAAAACCCTGTGAGATGGGTTCCTACTGCTCTGCCTTCTGGAGGGGCAGCTGGCTCCTGTGCGGGGCTCGCTGTGCCGATAGCAATGGGAGGGATGTGGAACAACCTGTTTGCCTGTTCCTGGCTGGGTGTGGTAGGGAAGGGCCCACAATAGCCCCTATAGTTCTCCCAGAACGATACCGTGAGTCAGACAGACGTAAATAGCAACTCCTCCTTGCCCGTTTGTGCTTTGCAGCCTGCGGAAAGGTGTGAGAGCCCGGCATGGGCAGGTGAAGCCCTTGCTCTGCAGTCCTACCCTTCCCCATCTTTATTTTTGCCTCTGGGCTTAGGCGAGGCTCTTCACCTTGGGTTTCTTGACCTATAGGATGTGCATTTTGGCAGCAAGGCTAGTACGGTGCTCGTGCTCTGTGTACAATTTACACTGTGACCCAAGCTCTTGCCCTGTTCTCTGCCCTGCTGCGCAGCGGTAATTGCTGTGTTTAACTTACAAATACCACTGGTAGGTGATGCAAAACGCCCGTGGCGTGGGCAGCCGTGCTGCTGCCGGGGTGTGTGCCGTGGTCCCAGCCCTGCCGCCGAGTTCTGCTAACGCCTTGCGGTATCTACCGTCAGCACAATGCCGCATATCCTCTTCTGAGCCAGGGTTTGAAATATTTAGGCTTTCCAACTACCATGGTATCTCTTAGTCACAGTTTAACTTCTTCCCTGCTGCCACGCTGGGTTAGCCTGCGCGGTTTCAGGGTAAAATGTCAGTTAATGTCTAACAAGGTCTGTAGCTTTTTTTGCAGTGGTGAAGCAGCTCGTGGTGTGGAGGTATCGGGGTGTCCGAGGTGCTATACATGAATTCGCACAGCGCTGCAGCTGCTGTTCAGGGGATTTAGTTCAAATCCTGCTGCTGCCCAGCGATGGCGGCGGCCATGGGAAGGCTGGAGCCGATTCCTTCGGAGCCGGTTGGGCTGTCTCAGCCCTGGGAGAGGCTCCAGAGGAAGCTCTTGGCCCTCGACGCAGCCCAACGCCGGGCAGGCATCCAGCCGCCTTCCTGCGCCGCGCCGGCTCCAGCACCGTGCTCACCTTGAGCTGCTCTTGGTGCTGGCCGTGCCGCACCGCACCGCCAGCAAAGGTGCTGCAAAACCAGCTGTGGCAGGGGAGCCCGCTGCCGGGGGGGGGAATGGCAGTGTCCCTTCACCCGGGCTGGGACACGGAGCATCTCGCAACAGGGATGCTGTGCTGGGTGGGAAGGGCTCCGCACCGCTGGTTGCTTTGATGTGGGGCTGAAACGCCCCGTGCTCTCGCTGCGATAAGAGCCAAGGGGGTGGTGGCGGAGGAGAAAGTCTAAACGAAAAGATGTGTATCTGTTGAGAGATGCACCTCCCCGGCTGCTGGGAACAGGTCCATTCCCTGGGTGAGGAATGTGGTGGGTGTAGAGCCCTGTTGTCCCAGTGCAGGGGACTGGGTGTACTCAGTGCTAGATTTGGGGATGTGTATTATTTCGGAGCGCCTTGGTCCCTGCTCTTTGGGTAGGTTGGGAGCTCAGCAGCGGTGGCCAGAAAGCCCTTGGCCAGCCCTGCACCAGCTTTCTCAGCTGGGGTTTCCACTCCGGCCAAACGGGAAGTGAAAGGGAGAGGGGGTGGCGCGAGCTTTGGAAATAATAAGTGAGCCACCCTTGCATTGATATACTCTTGAAAAAAGCAGTCTCAGCCGAGCGACGGCGTTACGTCATTGCCTTCTTGCAGTGGGAATTTGTGCACTTCCCATGATTGAGCTGTCGCAGCCCAACCGGAGAGCAATTTCCTGGCAGTCTCGTGGTGGTGACCCCTCGCCCGGACCTCCCTGTTCATGCATGAACCTCTTCACCGCAGATGTGCGTAATTGCCACGGCCGGCTGCCTGCTCGGCGTGAGCGCCAGGGGCTGCTCCGCTTTGTTCAGCACCTTGCGAAGCTGCCGTAAAAGTTACAGCTGGCTGCGGTGGCTGCGGAAATCTCGGCGCGCGGTTTCCTCCCGGTGAAGGAGCGGAGCTGCAGCCACGCCATCTGGTCGCCTCCTCGCTTTGCGGGATGCTTTGTGCATCGTTGCTCTCTTGAGGCGCTGAGTGGAGGGCACGGGGGGACGGTGGCCCTGGTGCCAGTCGGTGCTGGCTGGTGCCGCAGCCGGTCCTGATACTGGATCGACCCGCGGCGGAGGGGGCTGGTGCCTGCCAAGGACAAAAAGGGATCAGACTTTAATATTTGCAGAAGGTTTTGAGACACGGTGTATGGTGCAAAGTACAAATTGCTTCAGCCACAACAGCAAAGAACTGTTTGGCCGGGTTGTTCCCGATCGGCTGGTCGTGTTGACACTCGGCTGGCAAATGGCCCATGTGCCCGGGCATGTGGTGGGCCAGGGCTGGGCTGACCGAGCGGTGGGCTGGGGCTGGCCCAGTGTATGCCATCTGGTTTTGTGCTGAATGAGGGTCTCAGTGGTTCCCTTGTACTGGTGAGATGCTGGTTGGGCTCATCCCAGTCCCACTGTTGCTAAGGTTTGACTCCATGTACAGAGAATGCGGTTGTCCTGGAGCCCAGGAGAGACCTGTCGTCCATGGAGGACTCGCGTTTTCCTGCACTCTCTAAATACACCAAAACCACAGTGTTTGCTGCCAGGGCTGGGCTCTTGCTGGAGCGGGACAGGAGTGAGCAGCCCCTTGTACAAGCAAACCTGGGCTGTGCATGTCTCGGCTGCTGGGGGGCCGGGCATGCTGGGGAAGGGGGACCCACCGCCGGGTGGGATTAGGGCTGTGGCTGCTCACCCCCAGATCCCCAGTGGGTTCCCAGGTTCGTCCTTGCCGGGAGCCACCACCTCCACCTTGGGCAGCCCTGGGAGCATTGCACCATCTCCTCCCACACGTTGTCCTGGGGTCCAGGGCTGGTGTCCGCTTCCCATTGCATTTCCCATCCCTGGAGTTGCTGTTTTGTCACTTAAAACTCCAGGTATGTTTTTATGGGCTGTACATCTGGGGCTTTGAGTTACCCCAGGCACTGCTCTGCTTTTTCTGGGATGGGATGAGGGATGCTGCTTCCCTTTGGAGAGCCCCTGTGGGTTTTCAGGGGGGCTCCCAGCCACCGCTGGCTGTGTGACCTGCCAGGGCTGAGTCCTGAGACGGGAGCAGCTCAGAGACACACGGCTCATGGCTTTCAGTTTATGAACAGTTCCATGTAGGCTGAAAGCCTCCTGGGAAGCTGTGACCTGCCATGCTGGAAGTAAGAGCTTCTTAACTCAGCCCTTATAAATAGCTGACAGAGCTCGACTCTCCCTGAAAGCTTGCTCTGGTCCAGAGACGATGCTTTTAGTTGAGCGGTAACGCTGGCTCCTCTCCTAGAAGACACTCCTGCAGCTCCCACGTGTGTGTCTGGCTCCAGCCACGCTGGGGCTTTTGCTGAGGCAGGACACTGCCCTTCCTCCCAGGAAAAGCACCGTGGGTGTGTGGCTCGATGAATTCTGCATTTGAAAAGAAGAATTAGAGGAAGAGACAACGCGGAGCTGGGATCCTTTGGCCGTGGGCAGCCGTTCTTGGGACTGACCTGTGGCATTTGCAGCGGCTGCGTGCCACGGCTCTGCCCTCGCTGCCCAGCTCGCCTGCGCAGGGCAGGGCTGCCCGTGCCTGGCTCCACCACCGAGGTTGAACTGGTCCAGTAGTTTTGAGGCAAATATCGACCTAGGGCTTAGCTCCGTTTGCAGCTGCGTGTCCTGTCACCTGGACTGAGTCCCAGGGCTCTGTCTTTCCACTGCCCCGCTGCTGGGGGCGAGGGATGCAGGTGCTCTGTGCTTGGCTTTGGGCTGTACACACAGCTGGGAGAGCACTGGGTGAAGCTCCTGGCTGTACCTGTGCTGTTTAAATTCCCATCTCTGTTATTAGTGCAGCATCTCTCATCTCCACCTGTTCCCTTCAATATCTGGACTGTGAATCGGGTCAAGATGAGGGACCTTTCCTGGTCCCATCGTCTCTGGCTCCTTTGTCCCATCCCTGTGGTCAGGCTAAGGGCTGGGGTGGCTGATGGCAGAGTGGGTTGCGGGCAGGGCTGCCCCTGGGTGCTGGGGTCCCGCTGCTGCTTGTCCTTGTTTCCCTTCATGCTACACAAGGCGTGCATGTTTGTCCAAGTGTCTTGGAGGAAGATCTGCTCACCTACAGCTCCCCGAAGATGGGCACCAGGGGTACTCCAGGAGCACCCATGGGTCTGGCTGCAGACGCGTCCCTGCTGGTGGGGTGCCACCTGCCCCAGCCCTGGGGTGTCCCCCCCAAGCTCGGTGCCTCAAGCCCCCTCCCCATGTCTTGTCTTTGCAGGAGACGTGCTCTTCCAGATGGCAGAAGTCCACAGGCAGATCCAGAACCAGCTGGAGGAGATGGTGAGTGCCCCAGCCTGGGCATGCTGGGCTCTCTGCCTGGCCACGGGCTCTGCTGGTGTTGCAGCCGAGCAAAATGGTTTTCCATGTCTTGTCCGGGTGACACCAGCCCCTCTGAAGTGGATTTGCTGAGCTGCAAAGGGTCTGGTCTCCTTGGGCATCTGCTTCTGCTGGGTCCTCTTCTGAGTGTCTGTCTGTCCCTTGCTGCTGTCAGCCTCTGCTCTGTACAGACCCTCTCCCCTGCCTGCCCCAGTGCTCCCCAGTGCCATCCAGTGCTCCCCGGGCAGGGTTTGCCAGCCCTCACCAAGGAATCGTGTTTTTTCTTTCTGCCTGCAGCTCAAGTCCTTCCACAACGAGCTCTTGACGCAGCTGGAGCAGAAGGTGGAGCTGGACTCCCGGTACCTGAGTGTGAGTTACAGACTCGTGTAGTCCGGCAGCACAAACATTGGCTCGGGCATCTCCGCCTTTCCCATTCCTGCTGCCCGGCTCCCCGCTTGGGCACGGTTGTGCCCAGACACTGCTCGTGCCCCTGGTTACAGATGGGTCCCCGACCATCACACACATCACCACGCACAGAACAGCATTTTCCCCAATGTCAGACTATTGCAGCCCCTGTTTGCTCTCTGGGCCGTGGGGAACCTGCTTCTCCCAAAGGCCAGGGGGGTCTGCTTGCTTCTGCCACCCCTCGACAGCAGGAGCTGCGGCCGAGGCAGGGATTCAGCTTTGGCTGCTCAGAGCTTTCTCCTGTTGCATCCAGGCTGCACTGAAAAAATACCAGACGGAGCAAAGGAGCAAGGGGGACTCGCTCGACAAGTGCCAGGCAGAGCTGAAGAAACTTCGGAAGAAGAGCCAAGGCAGCAAAAACCCCCAGAAATACTCTGACAAGGAGCTGCAGGTAGGACCCCGGGCACAGCGGGGGGGGACGAGCATCCCGTGCCGGGCAGCGGATGCTTGGTACCACATGCTAGAGGTGGCCCGGCTCTTGCAAGCCTTTTGATAAAGGCTTGCTGTTTTCTTTAGAGGAAAGGGAGCGTGGTGGGGTGTGGGAAGTGTGGATAGGGAGGGGGCGGCAGCCTGTGATGGGAGCGGGTTGGTCTCATGGCCACCCCGGGGGAGGACCGTGCAGAGGGGGAGGCTGCAGATGTTGTGCCGGGAGGTGCGGTGGTGACTAACCCCGCTTAGTCCCCTGCTCCTGGTGCTTTTTATTTTTTTTTTTTGCTTAATGAATGAACCCAAAAAGATCATTAACTTCTGTTGCGCCCAGATCCATCTTCCCCTGGATGGTGTTTTGCTTAAATATTTTCTGTGCCTGCTGCCGGGGTGCCCCTTCCCCCAGCCTGCCGGGGCGGCGGCGCGGGCCGGGGGCGGCTGCGGTGAATCACCGTGGTGTGATCGCGGTGTGGGCTCCCTCGCCGACCACGCGCCGTTTGCTAATCGGGTCCCGGCTGCGCGGGGCTGGGGTCCCTCACAGCACCCACCTGGATGGTTTGTGCTGCGGGGTGGGCGCGTGTCGGAGGTTGAGGTGTTGGGATTGCCTACAGGGAGGGAGTTGGGGTCAGAATTTCACTGAAGAGCATCCAGGGAGCATCCCTGGCTGGTGCCGGCTCAGCCGGGGCCGTGAGCAGGACGTGCCGGCGGGCTGTGGCACACGGTTACCGATGCATTCACAGCAGGAGTTTCGTGTCTTCTGAAGTCTGCAACCTTTGGTTCGAGCTTTGCCCAGACCACGGCTGAACATGGCAAACTTTAACAAATAATTGATGTACCTACCTGCAAATCTGCTCTGCCTGAAGGTCCTCATGCTGCTACTCGAGTTAATGCTCTGCCTGAGTTAAGGCAATGGTAATCTGCTGCTACTCGAGTTAAGGCTGCTGAATGATTGCAGCACTAGTAGTACTTTGGGTAGTACCTTGAAAAGGGGAAGATGACCCCTGAAGCCAGAAATTACCTAGTCTTGTCTCTGAGGCATGAGAGTATGCGTTATGTTGGGACCAGGATCTGTTACTTTGGATACCATGGGCCCGTAACGTGTCAAAATGATCCGTGTCTGCTGAAGGGGATCTTAAATGTCGGTGGCACTTCACTCCCCAGGGCTGTGTACAGGGTGGCATTTAAAGTAATCGGCAGATCGTTACCGTGAAGGTTGTGCTGGGGAAGTGACATTCTTAATTGCACTAAAATTTGGGAAATCAGTCATTCTCTCAGTGGCATGAATCAGAATAAGCACTGAAAGAGAAAAACGCATCCGTAGTCATCCACCCCGGCTCAGCGTGCAGCTCCCGTGCTGAGCCGGAGCGCGATGCCCTGAGCTCATGCTCGTTTGCAGCCCCCGTCCGCTGAGACCATGCTGAGCTGCTTGCAGGTGGCACGGCTGGCTGGAGCGTCGCTGGAAGGTGTCGATGCAGCCCGAGTTGGGTGTCCTGCCCGTTGAGGCCGGGGCTGGCACGTTCTTGAGAGCTGAGCAGCCTAAACCACTTCTGAGCGGTGGCATCTCCGCAAGCCCTTGCTCTGAAATTCCTGCTGAGCAAGAAAAACCCTGTTAGGCACCGAGGCTTGGCGTGGGGAAACTCGGGGATTAAACCTGCTTTGTTATCCCCCACCTGCAAAAGCTGCTGATAGGGACAACAGGGCGAAATTGCTGCCAGAGCCAGCCCTCTCCTGCCTAACCCCCCCCCGGGCTGCTGCCACGCAGGGATCTCTATCCCACACCCAGAGTCGGAGGAGGAGAAAATCCAGCCCGGTGATCCGTTTATATAGCTGGGAGAGAGCGATGGTTTGATCCTCCTGCTGTGATGTGGCGGGGATGGGGTAGTCCTGTTAGCGCGGCCGCTTTGGGCAGGGAAACAGGATCAGGCTTTCATTCTCTTAATCTTTCAGCAGTAAGTATTTAGGAAGCGCTTATCTCTGAAAAAGCCTTATGATGGCTTTTGAGCTTAAAGAGCTATGAGACTGCTCAACTGCTTACTTCGTTTTTTCCCCCTAGATCAAAATATGGAGTTAAATGGCTGAATTCAGCCAAGAGGGCAGTTTTCCCTCTGTTCTCTGCTGGCTTCGGTCCTGGTATTCCCTTTCAACAGAAACAGAGGGTATTTTGGGCCACCTTTGATGCTCTTTTTACCATTGCCTGGGCATCAGAGGGTGGGGGGATTGCTGCAAGGGTGGGTCCAGCCTAGAGCTATGCAAGTGTTGGTACCAGCCTGAGCCTTGTGTGGGGCTTAGTGAAGCCAGGCTTAGTGAACCAGGAGCATCAGCAGAGCTGCTGGTGTCGCACCGTGGACCTTTGCTCCACAAAAAAAAAAACTTTCTAAACTGGTTTATAATGGAGAACCACGCAGTTTTCCCTGGGGAGCTGCTGCATGCAGTTTGGTTTGTTTAGCTGGCCCAGAGCCACCCCTGCGGCCGGCTTGTAAAACCCCCAGTGACCTCCGAGGAGGCTGCTGAAGGTACCTCGTGATGCTGGGGGGAAGCTGAAGACTTCATTAGGCTGGTGCCTGGGGACCACAGATGGATCAGACAACAGCTGGATGGACCTCTTCTAATGGGCTGTTGCAGATTACTTTTCTCATAATGGGAGAAGCTGCTGTTGATGGAAACGTCCTGGTAGCTGCATCAGTCATCTCCTTCAATAAAGCAATAACATCTTACTCTTCTTTTGAAGACTCATCCACTTAAGCTACTGTAGCCGTTGGCAGCTGGGAGTCTGATGCTCTGTCATCATCTCTCTTCATATTTAATGCTATGGGAGGCAAAACTGCTCCTTTCTGCCTTTTCAACACATGTGGAGTGACCACATCTTGTCATCGGCTGCAAGTGAGATGGGTGGGTGAGACGAGTGTGGTGGGAGAGGCAGTGCTGTCCTCCTTCGGGGAGCTTCAGGATGTGGTTTCTGTAACATCGTCTTGTTCTGCCGAGGTGAGAGGAGATTTGGGGCTGTTTGGGCTCTGGTTTGCTGGGTGGCAGAGGACAACCCTCACCTGGGCCAGGGTACCAGCATGGCTCAGGCTCTATCCTCTGCTAGATTGATCAGAAAGCCCAGTAAAACAGCCCAAACATCTCACCTGTGACTCTTCAGTTCAGATTTTCCCCCTTCCTAAAGCAGAAATAAATGCTGATATTCAGCAGGCACTGCACATAAGTAATGATCTTGTGGCTGGTGAGCAGTAGCTTTGGGCACATGGGGCTTGAGGAGTTCTGCTTGGGATAAGGAAGCGGTGCGATGCTCATGGACACTTGCAGGAGGCATCTCCTGAGCTGCGTCAGCCACTTGTTGCATGGAGAGAGCTGATCCAGGGTTGTCTGCAAGTCCCACATCATCTGGCCACTGTCTCTTCTGCTTGTTTTGTGGGGTTTAATAGATGAGGACGGGCATCACAGAATTAAAATGGTTGAGGATTTGAAACACCTTGTGGTTTGCAGTAAAGACAACTTGTGTAGCTTAAAAGCAGCTCAAAGTGTAATTAGGCTGCAGGAGTGATTTTCCACCTCCAAAGCTTTGTCTGTCATGGTCAAGGGAGATGCTGTGGTTGTGGGTTGTTACTGCTGAATGTCGCAATAAAGCCAGGCTTTTTATTCCTTATGAATCAGTCCAGACCTTTTGTTATACACGAGGAATGAAAGCTGAGACAGCTAACTACCTCAAATGTCTCATCTTAGTTATGTAGTTACTGAGATTTTTTTTTTACCTGTGTTGAAAACCAGGAGAATAACCCAATTCCATTCACTTCACGTCTTTTATGAAGAGGAATGAAAACAATATTAAGATTAAACAATCACCAAGGAAGCTAAACTGCTGTAATTTCATTAAACGCTGGTTATGATCAAGCTATGAAATCAAGGTCACGATGGGTTTAGGACCTTGATTGAATCAGCAGCTCAACAATGAAGTTACGTTGGTTCAAACTATTTATCAAATCTTATTAGCACTATGAACAATTGGATTTCTCCATTGGGCTGAGACGAAGCTGACTGTAATTCATCCTAAATAGCGAAGCTGAAGCCGGCTGTTTGCAGTGAGAGGCTGTGCCTGACCCGGGCAAAAGGGCTTTCAGCGCGGCTGTGCCGGTGAGCAGCCACACCAGTAAATCCAGAGGGGCAGAGGGAGCTCCCTGCTCGTCCCAGCCCCTGCAAAACCAGGGCTTTACTGAGCCGGGCACACTGGGCTGTGGAGGCTGAGCTCAGCTCCTGCCTAGATATGTCTTCTGTCCACACCTACACCTGCTCCTAGGGGAATATTTTAAGCATTAAATACCACTGTGCCAAATAACCCGGGGGGGTTTATAAACTTTTGTAATTGAAACCTCATTTTGATATTCCCATCAGGAGAAATAATTTTAGGTATAGGTCAAGAAGCTCTAACTGATAAGGAGTTTGCACAAACCAGGTTAGAAGGGCTTATGTAAAAGTCAAATAGGGAAGAATTATGTAAAAGCTCGGTGGTTCCAGGTAACTCTCTCCAGGTTTTATCGTGCTTTAAGCTGAGTTAGGGTGTGTGTCCAAACCCAGCAAATACAGTCAGCGGGTGCAGGGAGGGGAAGCGGTTGTGAAACACTTGGTAGGAGATGCATCAGGCCTGGGGCTGAGCTGCTCTGGTCGTGGGCAGCGTGTCGGTGTCCTTCTTGCCATGGCCAGGTCGGGACCGAGAGGGATCCCCGCTCGGGAATTACCAACCTGAGCGCTCGTGTAGCTTCGCAGCATGACCTGCTTGTGTCTTGGGACCTTACTGAAGAGCTCATGCCGTGTGGTATTTTTTTGTCTCTGTTTACTCTGTAATCAGCCGTGAACTCGCGTGCCGGTGACATTGGCCCCTCTTACCGTGGGCATAGCCCCGCGTGTCTGGGGAGGCTTTGGCTGCTGGTGGGGTTTCAGCACACCTTGCTCTGGCAAGGCACTGCACCT